ACCAACACATATATGTATATATATATATATATATATACATAGAAACCAAAACTTATATGTGTGTAAAATGATTGAGCTTAAAGTACCAACAGACATAATATAAAACCTAAACTATTTACCCAAACAACTTGATCTTCAATGAGCTCTTCTTGGTAAACTTGCGGATGACGCTTGAACTTGGATCTTGGTATATATATATATATATATATACATAGAAACCAAAACTTATATGTGTGTAAAATGATTGAGCTTAAAGTACCAACAGACATAATATAAAACCTAAACTATTTACCCAAACAACTTGATCTTCAATGAGCTCTTCTTGGTAAACTTGCGGATGACGCTTGAACTTGGATCTTGGCTTGAATTGCATTGCTTCATACCGATATTCCGCCAATCTCTATTTGATGTGATCGTGAATGCTCGATTTCATCCATACTCCAACACATTGTTTGTCTAGAATAAATAAAAAAACACAAACACTAGACAAATAATATTAGTTGTAAATTGTTTGTTAAAACATCATCAAAACACAAAAGCCAACACTTATTATACCTAATCACTTTAACTTGCTATACAGAGTAAGTTTTACCATCATGTATTTTTAAATCCATCTACTTCTTTAAAAAAATTCCTATAAACCGAAAGTTTTACCCCTGTTTATTTTTTAAAAACTACCTACTTTAAAAATCATCTATAAAAGAAATATAGCAATTTAAATCATATATAAAACTGTTTGATATAAAGTGAGTTTAAAAATAACTTTTTTATAGTATTTTGAGTCTAAGAATGACTTTGGAAGTGTGTTTAAAAATAAATAGGGGTTAAACTTTCAGTTTATAGATTAAAACCCTTTTTGAAGGTGAGTGGATTTTAGGGGGAAAAAAGCTTTTGGACTTATAACTAAAATAACTTAACTTGGTAGAGAAAAATCATGGTGCATTTTGTGTTTTTATTTATTTAAAGGAATCCATTTTGGGGTAGATATAAATCTTCGAAATGTAGAATGGATTATAACATTGGTTATACGGACAAAACACCATTTATTAATTGTTTCTTTTGACTGTTAGCCAATAGTTTGACTTTGAAATTCCCTACGAACCATTCATTGTGATGCCAAGCCAACTCTACTTTTCAAAAATAGCCCAGCCCATTATAATAACAAATGAACGCGTAGGCCCACTGAAAAATGAAGGTATTAAAAAGGACAAAGAACGCAATGGACAACATGCAAAAAAGTTGCACAAATATTTGTTACAATATTAATTATTGTTCAACTTTGACTGAAATAAAATCCAAGCAAACATACATCATATTAGAAAAGAGCACAAATTTTTGCAAGCAACAAACAAATCACCACAAATTAAACTCTCTCACTAACACGTTATTCTGAAAAAACATTAGAGTTCTTCAAACAAGACGACTAACATATTCCTCTACTGTAGTGTACTTAACATCAGGATAAAGCTTAGTGGCTTCAACACCAAAAGAAGGATCAATCTCAAAATTTGCAGTATCTCCCTTAAGAAGAATTGAGTAATTTATCCCCATCATAAGATTAACCGGAAACGGAGCCTCTGAAGAAGAAATAGAGGGGGGGGGAGTTAGTTTTCGATACAAAATAAAAATTATAGACATTTTTGTAAATATATTACTAATTAATTAACAACCTTTTATCTTCTTTAAGACCTCCTCCTCTGTGAGGTAAATTCGTTCAAAGGTTTTTCCACTCTTCTGCTCGTACAAAGTTATAAGCTCATTGTGAGTGTAGATGTTACTCTCAGGCCTTACGTGCAAAATCTTGTTTAGTGTTCTTGGATCATCCACAGCTTTAATGGTGTATGTTCCAATGTCATCTTCATTCACAAAAATTGCTGAAACAAATAAGGGAAAAGGTTTAGCATGGACCATGAGAGTAATCAAATCAAAGATATGTGTTTTTATGAGTTAATTGCGGGTATATAGCGGATACACATGCTAAATTACAGGAGTTATTAGTCAGTTATTCATCTCAATGTTTTTGTGTTATTTGTAACCCTCACATGTATGTCACATGTCATCAATGTGTCACAGAAGAGATCCTCTAATATTCCATTCTATTGACAGAGAAAGGTGTTGAACAAACAAGCCCTATAGTATAACCACATATAATCAAGAGATAACTCCATTTAAACATTAAGGGAGTGTAAATGATAATGAAAATTTACACAAGCCCTAATGCATGTGTATGACTAAACGAGCGTTGGTGTATTTTGGTTGTGATGTATCTGATGTGGCTCACATCCAAGTTGTCAGTAATAATGTAGCAATATTAATGATCTAGACTATAGTGACCTGGATGTATATCAAGTCAGCGACACAACATCCACGTACTACTGCAAAGTGACACACAATCCTTTCTTAATCTCTCTTTCTCTCTTTGGAGGAATGTATATGTCCTATGTACTATGTACATAGGCTAATTACCTTTGACATTGCCATCACCAAAGATGGTGAGTTTGTCTTTAGGAGGAGGAGCAAATGAATCTGATTGAGCAAGAGTTGGAATTGAATATCCTGCAAAGTAGTTTGAGCATACAAAGGTATAAGGTATTCCCTCAGCCTCAATAGCTCTTCGGATGTGGATTTTGGCCGCCAACATGGATTTTGCTGGCTCCACAGTGTGTGCCCGATCCACGTCGACCCCGAATTCAGAGGGTAAAAACCTCTGCATAAAAACGTACGAGTTCGTGTGTGAGTATAATTTCATAGTGATTAATGAACAAAAAAATGTTAGATCATATTAATATATAGGGTAAATCGGTCTCCATGCATTTAGCTTTGCATCACACTGACATGACACACATTTATTCTCTGACAATTAAAATTATTAACCTATAAATCATATATATCATGGTTGAGAGTTCAGATATGTACCATGTCAGTGACACTAGTTACGAGCGTGAAATTAAGGATATACGTTGTGCCTCGTTTAGTTTTATACGTATAAATAAGTCTAGCTATTCAAATTCTACATATTTCATATTCCTTATATGCGATATTTTTTGCAATAAAGTCGTAATAGCTAATGGTGTTTATATTAGAAAAAAAAATTAAACAACAGGACTAACCTTAACATTTCCAGCTTCTTTAATTGCAGCAACGATCTTTGTCTGATCAGCCAGCTTCTCGCCTCCAACGGTCGATATCACAACATCCACTTGCTTGATAGCTTTCACCAAGCTCTCATGGTCATTCAAGTCCCCCTACAATCACAAATTCACGATTAACACTTTTTTTAGCACAATATCAAGGCCTTAATAAGCTGATTGAGACAAATATGCCTGATATTCACCTTCACAAGTTTGACGCCAGAGCTCGTAAATCCTGCCAGAAGCTTCGCCTTGGCAGGGTCAGACGGGGTGGTATCCCTGACCAAGGCGGAGGTGGGGTGACCGAGCCTTGCGCTCGCACCGACGATGAACTTGCCGATGTATCCGGTCCCACCGATGATCAAAATCTTGCTCGCCATTGATGGATATTGAAGGAGATGATGTCGAGCGCACGAACGAACTAAAGGGAGAGATGCCGGCCCGTTTGTGTTAGTATTTGAGGGGGGAGGCATCAAATTTATAGGGAACCGCTTGGGGTCTGGTCACCGCCCGGTAGGATTTTACTCGGTGTCTTTCAATTCGGAAACGTATTGGTAAGGCGGTTAGCGGTGGCTCCTTCTCTTTTTAGGGGCTGTTTGGTTGGTTTCCTAAAAACCAAGAAAAAGAAATCGGTACAAGGAAATCAATAAAATAATATTTTTATCCATTTCCATCCCTAAAACTCACTCACAACATCCAATAAAATATTATTTTTATCCTCCAACTCATCTCATTTCATCTCCTTTCTTACCTTTAAAAATAAACCAAACACAAGAAATGTGTCACATCATCCAACTCATCACATCTCATTTTATCTCATTTTTAAAAATCACACACATCATCCAATAATATTGTGACAACTCATCTCATATCATTAAACATTCCTTTCCACCCATTTCCTCAAAAAAAAACAAGAAATTAATTTCCTTAAGTACATGTCACATCATCCAATAATATACCTCCAACTCATCTCATCTCATCTATTTTCTTATTTTTAAAAACGAACCAAACACAAACAACCTCAAAACATCATCCAATATTATACCTCCAATTCATTTCCTTATTTTTTTAACCAACCAAACAACCTCAAAACAAGTTTTTAAAAAAATCACTCACATCATCCAATAATAAGGTGACAACTCATCTCATCTCATCTCCTATTCTATAATTTCCTTTTTTTTAAACCAACCAAACAACTTCAAAGTAATTATAATAGGAAATAGGTTTCCTAAAGTTTGATTTCCCAGTTTTTTTTGCCAAACGAACAGGCCCTTAAGTTTTGACCCAATTAATTTGCTATGCTGCTTGAAAATTATCAATTTTAAAGAATATATGAATTATTAGGGGAATAGTGGATATGAAATGACGATTTATATATTTTGCTAAATTAACTACGGAGAGATGGCTATGTGACAAGACCCACCTTGCTATAGGCACAACAAAAGATGTTGATCTCATTGTTTTATCTCGTAATAGCTCATTTAATTAACAAATTAAATTAGCCGCCACCACGTATCCATCGTTACTAATTAATAATTATTAAATTTGATTGATTAATTTGTGACTGAAATATAATTTTGGCACGAGCTAAAAAGAGGAAAAACTGACAGTTGGTAACATGAGTTACTTGGTGAGAGACAGATGGGCTGTTTGTTTTTAGTTTTTTGGGATGAAAAGAAGAGGAAAGCTAGCTTTGGGTGGAAAGCTGCCACAGTTCTGACAACTGTGACAGCTTTCCTTTATTTTCATGGTAAAAAAAAAAGTTCCAAACGGGCCCTGAGAGTTTCAATGATCTTATGTGATTTGGGGGTACTCCTGATGGGAGTTTCAATGATTTGAGGGACTAATCTCATAATATGAAAGAATTGAGGGGCTAATATTGAAATTGCTCATACGAACTGCATCGTCGACGGCTCTCTTAAGAGGGGTGAAGGTCAGCGGCTCGTCCCAACAAACAGCCCTGCGGGCCCGCCCGAAGGCGCGGGCCTGGGCCGTGGTCCGGCCCGGCGCCGGCCTCGGCCGTGGAATAACCCGGGCCAAGTCTGGGCTCCGGGCCAGGCCCGGGCCGGCTCTTTTGTGCCCGGCCCGAGCTCGGCCCTGCCCGGAATAGTAGTTTTTTTTATTTTTTATTTTTTATTTTTTATTTTTATGTATTATATTATATATGTATATATAAATATATATAATATGTATAATATATGTATATATAATATATTTTTATATATGTATAATATATGTATATATAACATATTTCTATATATGTATAATATGTCATATGTGTGTATATATATACTCTCTCTTAGTATATAAGTATATATAAGTATACTCTCTCTTATGTAAGTATATATAAGTATACTTTCTCTTATATAAGTATATATATATATATATATAAGAATACTCTCTTTTATATATGTATAATGTATGTATGTATGTATATATATACTCTCTCTTTTAGTATATATGTATATATAAGTATACTCTCTCTTATATATGTATACTCTCTCTTATATAAGTATATATTAGTATACACTCTCTTATATATGTATAATATATGTGTATATATATATATATATATACTAATATACTCTCTCTCTTAGTATATATGTATATATAAGTATACTCTCTCTTATATATGTATACTCCCTATTATATAAGTATACTCTTTTATATATGTGTGTGTGTATACTCTCTCTCTTAGTATATAAGTATAGTATATTACAACGGTTACTTCCCCATTGGCCCAACGAGCAACGGCTACAGGGTTACTTATGCGATTCTCTCTCTCTCTTAAATTATAACTTATAAATATATACAATATATTTACATATAATATATGTATATATAATATATAGTTACATAATAATTTAGAAGTATATACTAATACATAATTATATAAAATATAATAATATTAAACTAATTTTTAGCATTTTTTATCAAAAATAAAAAGAAAAGAAATTTAAAAAAACCTAGGTGGGATGTACTTATCTATTGTGATACGATGAATTCCAAAATAAATTTATACTTGTAATTTGTAAATGATTTATTAATTATTAATAAAGAATTTATTTTTATAATTTTTTATTTGTAATTTATGTTATTTTAAGTGATTAATAAAATTATTATTTTACTATTATTTTTTTGATTTTTTTATAATTTAAAACTTAAATAAAATTTAAAAATTTGGGAAAAAATTTTAAAAAAAAAAGAAAAAACCCGGGCCGACCGGGAACCCGACCCGGTCGGGCCCGGGCCCGGATTTCCGGGCCGGGCCAGGCCGGGCCGGCCCGGATGGACAGGCCTAGGTGAGGGTAGCTGGCTAGGTGGGGATGGATGAGGACGTGATCATAGGTAAAACCATTTTCTAGCTAGGATAATGCTAAAACAAAGCATTAATGGATTCTAGTAGTATCTAACGAACCGCTATCAACTCGTTGACTTTTTCTTCTCTTTCCGGAATTGGAAATAGTGGACGTTAACATTAACGACACGAGATACTCTAGAAGGCATTGAATTAATTTCAGAAAAGTACGCAGACAAATACTTTGACTGTTGATTTTGCATGGATGAACGTGGCCATGATACGAGTAGAGTACGACTGTAGTATTTTGAAGGATGCTCGTGGATAAACATCAAGTTGGCCAAAATCTTATGTGCGTCACTCATTGAAAATTTCATCTGGTTGTCATGAAAATTTGATTTTTCTCAAGACTGACCACATGTAAACATGCAGGAAGAAAAAGAAAACAAACAAGTAATTATAGCTATTTAAAAGAAACTAGCTTTTGGTTTCTAACTCCTAGCGTTCTACCCCATGCGAGATCCAAGAAATGTTCTCGTTACTTATAATACTTTAAAAAGCTTATTTTCACTCTAGTATCCCAAAGTTCACAATTTTTTTGCCTTGATACTCAAAGTTTCAATCTCAATTCACTTTGATATACTAAAATTTCAGCCTCTACCATTGTCCACATTCAATTGAATTTTCCATTAAATCTGTATGATATGCTTACCACCTGGGTAAAAAGAATCTAAATGTATTCACATACTAAGGACGTGGTACAAATTTAAGAATGAGGGTAAAAGGTTACCCAATATACAAGGTTCCCACCATTGTGGGCTTTGGGGTTAGATATAAGCAGTCTTACCTTGGCTTTGCAGAGAAGTTGTTTCCTATATTCAAACTTGTGACCTCTAGGTCATAAGGCAAAATGAGATGGACGCTTCGGGTATCAAAGTGTTAAAAAAGATTTTAGGGTGTCAAAGTAAAGTAAGAGTGAAACTTCAAGATATGTAAATGCTTGAAAAATACTTTAGGATATCCAAGTATTAAAGTGGGAAAAAAGGTGAACTTTGGGTGCCGAAGTGAAAATTGTGAATGAAAGGGACATGAGGCTTGTGGGCCAGCAACAAGACGTGTGAGGAGCTTTGGTTGGCGTGTGCGAAGCTTGGATGTGGGGACCACGTTATCAAACCGCGTGAAGAAATGCAGCTAAGTTTGAAAGGCCCACCCGATAGTTTTTTGCTGCAACTATATAAATCTCCTTGTAGTCTAGGGTTTAGGGTTGGGCAGAGGGCTTGGTGAAAAGTGCGAAAGCTGGGGGAAAAGCGGCGTGCAAACCGAGGAGCAGAAGGAGGTTTGGGCGGCTGTGCTAGGACGGCGGCTGTGAGTCTCTTTTCGACAGAGAAGAAAAACAACTGAGCAGAGGAAGAAAGAGATTAGATTGAGGGTTTAATTGTGAGAGTTGTAAACCTATTTGTATTCTTTTTCTTTCTAATAGTAGATCTCCCCCTCCTTGCCCCGTGGACGTAGGCAGCTTGCCGAACCACGTAAAATTGATTATTTGAGTTTGTGGCTATTGTAATAGTTTTTAGGATCTCTCGACAGGTCAGTCCTAGAACTGATGAGAGGAAGAGCCGATATCTCACTTTGTTGAGATATCCGCTTCAGATTCTTGTCTCCTTGGTGAGACGGAAATTCTTATCGATCTTTCTCTCTTATTGTGCATCAGAAACTCTGTCGAAATTTTCGCTGTGCACAACAAGTGGTATCAGAGCCCAGATTCCAGATCTAGGGTTTGGTTGGAGGAGTAGATCAATTTGGAGGCTCGTTTAGGGCTTCGTTGGTGATAAAGGTGGGATCTTTTGGTAAAGACTCTATCTTTTTAGTTTTGATCTATCCTTTGTTCGTTGGTACGTAAGATGTCGGGGAAAGAAGGTGCTTCGGGTGTCGAGGGCGGTGCTTCTGGCGCGAAGACCATTCAAAGTCTGAATATCCATTCTATGAAGATAGATGTGGAGAAATTTAATGGCACAAACAACTTTGGATTATGGAGATGCGAGGTTTTGGATGCGCTGAACGCGCAGAATTTGGAGGATACCTTGGAGTTAGATGGCAAGCCAGATGAGAT